TTTGCGAGAAAAGAGGAGCAGCTATCTGCTCCCCGCAATTCAGGCCCTGCCACTGCTGAGGCACGGAGGAGAATGAGCTTGTGGCGATCGCAGGTGGATCTGGCCGATGAGTTTAAAGAGGGGTTTTCCCTCTCGTGATCGTCGGCTGTGGACGAGAGTACGTATTCAGGGTCTGAATACTTAGGACCATGTGATATTTCAGTTTTTCTTTTTTAATAAATCTGCAAAAATGTCAACAATTCTGTGTTTTTCTGTCAATATGGGGTGCTGTGTGTACATTAATGAGGAAAAAAAATTAACTTAAATGATTTTAGCAAATGGCTGCAATATAACAGAGTGAAAAATTTAAGGGGGTCTGAATACTTTCCGTACCCACTGTATATATATATATATTTTTATTTATTTATACTTATATTTATAACTTATATTTCTTGCTTTTGTACTTTCTGCATGTTTAGGTTCAAATATGATGGTCAGCGTAATAGTCTTTTTAGCAATATAAAGTATAGGCCAGTGAGCGTCATGGACCTTTTGGGAAAGGGTTTGAGTGATAATCAGATATTAAGGCAGTTTTAACATTTTTAGAACTTACAGGACTAGATCATAGGATTTAGGACCTATCTGAGGGTGAGGATCATGATGCTTATGCCCATCTCAGAGGTTGAGATGCCAACAGCAAGCAAATAGTCCCCACACTCTATTCTTTTTCTTCTTCTTCCTGTTCAATGGCCAGTGTGGAAGCTAGAGGAGCTGAACACGCAGCACCAGCTGAAGCATGGGCTCTGATTCTCTGGGGTGGGTGGGGCAATAAAAAATAAAAAACAAACAAACAACAACCAAAAGAACAAAAAAAACAACAAAAAACAATACAGATTAATCAGCCAAGGGAGTAAGTTATACAGTAGGTGGCAGTAATACTCCTAATGAGTGAATGGCCATTGAACAGGAAGAAGAAGAAGAAGAAGAAGAAGAAGAAGAAGAAGAAGAGAGTGCGGGGACTATTTGCTTGTTGTTGGTGTCTGTGTCTGCTCCTGAGACTGCCGGAGTGCTCACGGGATATGGAGGTTACGGGAGATCCCTGCCGCACTGTTCCAGTTCCTGTTTTGATTAATCTTCCTCTAGATTGGACTTTTGTGTTTTGAGTATTTGTTGTTTGTTTGGACTGCTGTTATTTATACTAGTGATGGCGAGATGAAGCCTCATGAAGCATTGGAGCTTTTCAGCGAAGTGGTTCACAAAAAAGTTCATTTCTTGAGGCTTCATTTGCTCACAATACCACCTGGTGGCAAAAGAGTGTAAAACAAGCAGATACATTACAGATGACCTGATGTGATCTGATTTTGCACCAGTTAAGACTTATGCCGAGTTCACACTGCACGATTTTCAAACTCGTCAGATCGCCTTTGTTTTCACACTGCGTGACTATCTGGGGTAGCATTCAGTTGCTGCTGTGTTCACATTGCACAATGGATCAGCGACAGGGGGTTTCACACTGCATGACTTCATAATAGGAAGAATCGCAGACAGCTCTGTCTGGTCCGCAAACTACGTTTCACAACAAAACAAGTGATAAGGAAATAAGGCGAGAACCCGTGTGCGTCAGACTCGAGCAAGACTGTAATTATTTAAAAATATATATATACTGTATATATAGCCCGCAAATTGTCTGTGATTTTGAAGGCTCAGGAAACCTTTGCAGGTGTTTTGAGTTGATTAGCTGATTGGCATGTCACCATATTCTAATTTGTTGAGATAGTGAATTGGTGGGTTTTTGTTAAATGTGAGCCAAAATCATCACAATTAAAAGAACCAAAGACTTAAACTACTTCAGTCTGTGTGCATTGAATTTATTTAATACTCGAGTTTCACAATTTGAGTTGAATTACTGAAATAAATGTACTTTTCCACAACATTCTAATTTATTGAGATGCACCTGTAGTTTTCAGTCAGAAATCATTGCACACTGCGTGATTGTGAATGGCCGACAGCTCCAGATATTTAACATGCCAAATATTTCACAGGCATCGGCGACATGTCGGCGATTCCCTCAGATTGCGTCTTTGATAATTCATACTGCGTGATTGTCACTCGCAGGAACGAGCACCGATTTGCCTCCAATGTCGGACATTTGTCGGCAATTTCACAAAACCTGTCGGCGAGTGAAAAATCGGGCTAAAATCGTGCAGTGTGAACTCGGCATTAGAAATAACGGTGAAGAAAAAAAAATCAATTTCCACATACACTAATCCATTTACAGTATATGAATATAATGTGTATTTTCTAGTGGTATATAATGATTGTATAACAATGTAACATAACTGTAATAAATGTATTGGCTTGAAATTAATGGGGCTATTAAATGTGTGTAAATCAAGTATTTGCTCATAATAGGCAGGAGGGGCAATATTATTAGTCTAAAAGTGGAAAGTGGCTGGGTTTAACAGGGCAGAGGAATGTGAATTTACAAGATTCGAACCTCTTCCTGAACCAGTCAGGCCAAGCGAGGCTTCGGACGTCCTCAATGAGCCTCGATATGTGCTTCACTGAAAGCTGCCGGGATTTCTCACTTTCACACTCTCC